ATACATATATATATTTTGTGCATATAAGGACACTATGAAGAGAGTGAAAAGACAACATCACTGTCATTAGGGAAATCAAAACCACAATGAGAGACCATGCCTGTTAGGACAACTGTTAAAAAATAGAGCAAGTGTTGATAAGGACATGGAGAAATTGGAACCATGTAAAATGGTGCAGCCACTGTGGAAAATTAGGGTTTCCTCAAAAAGTGAAACACAGAATTTCCATATAATCCAGCAGTTCCACTCCTGGGCATACATCCAAAAGAACTGTAAAAAGGAACTCGCGTAGATATTTGTATGATAATGTTCATAGCAGCATTACTTACAATAGCCAAAAGGTAGAAACAACCCAAGTGTCCATCATCGACAGGTGAATGATAAACAGAACACATTATATTCACACAATAGAATATTATGCAGGCTTAAAAAGGATTGAGATTCTGATATGTGCTACAAGAACCTTGAAAGTGTTAATACCAAGTGAAGTAAGCCAGGCACAACATAACAAATATTGTTTGATTTCACTTACAGAAGGTACTTAGAAGAAGCAAATTCATAGAGACAGAAAGTAGAAGGCAGTTGAGCTGGTGGGGAGGGAGAGTCATTAACAGGTTAAGAGTTTCTGTTTTATGATGAAAGAGGTCTCGAAATGGATGATGGTGACAGTGGCACAACACTGTAAATGTACTTAATGCCACTAAATTGTATATCAAAAAGAGTTTAGATGGAAAATGTTACATGTTGCCACAAATCTTTTTAAAAAAGAAACTAAACTGAGTCACTATATGTTGAGGATAAGATGCCAGATAAAGATGATCCCCCCCAAAACCTACCACTTGAGAGCTTTTAGGAACTAAGCCCTATCTTTCAGGGGACTCTCCATATGCAGAGATAAAGGCATTTTACATTAAACATGTTTGCAGCTCTTTAAATTTTATTTACTAAAACACATTTCAAAGAAATATAAAAAGCTCTGCATCACTGTAATCAGAACCTTTGCTACTTAAATTCTCTATTCCTTGAGAACTCAGCTTTTGTCCAAGAGTGGCAATGTCATCAGAAAGAAAATCACACTTAAAAAAAAAGTGTTCTTGGTTTGATAGTACAGGTGACCCCCCACAACTCAACTTCATAAGCCCATTTAAATAAATTCCCTCTGCAGGTTTTACTATACATTTTTGAAAATGTTATTTTTGTAGAAAACAACTATGTTGCCCAGATTGGTTTCGAACTCCTGGGCTCAATTGATTCTCCTGCCTCAGCCTCCCAAGTGCTTGGAGCCACCATGCCCAGTTCCCTCTGCAGTTTTTGAAACTACTGTTTGTAGCCCATGATTCCAGTGTTACCTCTGGTCATAGGACAGCGCCATGGCCCGGATTCCAGCATCGCATCCTGGGTAGGCAAAGAGCTGCTTGAGGTCTGATACCTGCCGGACCACAACCACTCCGCTGTCTCCTCCTGTGAGCAGGTACTGCCCATCTCGGCTTAGCTGGATGGCCTGTTGAGACACAGTAACATTCAGAAGAGATGTGGTTCTAGGACACTTCCAGCCCCACCATATGTTTGAGTCATTCTTACACCAGCTACTGTGGTGCAGGGAGAAGAGAGAGAGAGAGCCTCTGTAATTTTTAGAAAATCACAGGTTGTAGAAGATCTGCCATTTTTCAAAAACCAAGTGGACAAAGTTCGGCAATGCTTGAGATTTTTTTGGCTTTGCTTTTTTAAAGACGAGGTAGTAAACTCTTCCAATTCCTCAAATGCTGTGGGAATGGTACGTGTCGTGGACTAGGACCAGTGCTCTGAGGAGGAGCCCTGGCATCTCTTCATTTGCCCTGTGGACATGCTAATAACCCTGTTTTGTCCCAAGACTTGGCAGACTGTGCCACCTGACCTCACATCCACTCTGATCCCCTGCTGTTGTGCGACTCCAGGCCGAGGGAGGCAGCCAGCCACCTCAGCCCCTTCCCTGAGCCTGTTGGATTTTGACAGCAGTTGGGAAGAAGACTTGGTAGAGAGCCACAACTTCCAGGGTGATTAAATCTCAGTTTAGCCGTTTCTTGCCCCAGGGCTGACAGTTCTTCAGCCTGTGGTTTAGTCCGCTCTAGGCTGTGCCCCTCTGTCCTTTCCTGCTAGTGCTGAACAGATGGGGCGGGCTCCAAATTTGCTCTTTGATCTCAGAAAATGGGCATCCACAAATGAAAGCCTGCAGGCCAAATGCAGCCTACTGCCTGTTTCCTGTAACTATTTTAACATTTTTTAATGCTTGAAAAGAACTTTTCATGACACATAAATATTTGTATGCATTCCAAATTTGAATCCCCATAAATAAGCTTTTCTTTGAGACAGGGTCTCATTCTGTCACCCAGGCTGGAGTGCAGTGGCGCAATCTCAGCTCACTACAACCTTCACCTCCCGGGTTAAAGTGATTCTCATGTCTCAGCCTCCTGAGAATTGGGATTACAGGTGCCCACCACAACATCTGGCTAATTTTTGTATTTTTAGTAGAGACGGGGTTTCACCATGTTGGTCAGGCTGGTCTAGAACTCCTGACATCAAGTTATCTGCCCACCTTGGCCTCCCAAAGTGCTGGGATTACAGGCACGAGCCACCACGCCTGGCCTTCAATAAATAAGGTTTTACGGACATCGCCATACCCATTTGTTTACGACTACTTTCACAGGTAGTTGCAACAGAGAATACAGAACCTTCAAAGCCTAAAATACTTACTTTCTGTGCATTTATAGAAAAAGTGTGGTGACTCCTAATTGTCCCTCCCTACTCCAAAAGCCAATCCTATTATCCCTTCTTCTCCTCCTGCCTATTGCCTCCAAGCCTTATTTTCTTAGCTTATTAAGATAGAAATTTCCTATCCTCAGTGGATGGCACTGGAGTTTTAGCAGCCATTACAAACAACTGTAATTGCACGTTCACCTGGACACACATAGGAATACAAATTGTGCTGGCAAGCCAGAAAGAGAAAAACCTAATTTCTGATATATTCACACTGTTGTACATTCAGCTTTAGCACAGTCGCCTTAAGTCTTACTCCTTGACTTACTGTTTTAAAAATCATAGAAAGGTAAAGACTTTCTTAGCTATTTAATTCACATTCACTCAAATGCCAACTTTCAGTAGTCTCAAACACAACTTATTCTCAAGAACACAAAAATACATCTAGGAAATAAAAACCTATGTGTGGAAGACAGTTATATATTCTCTAAGTCTTGTTAACTAAGCACAGATATTAAAATATTTTCAAGATAAGCAAAAATCAATATCCTTTTCCCCCATTAATTTCACAAATAGCAATCTCTAGGGGTGTCTGGGAACTGCAATGAAGACTGGGACAAACAATTATTTGCTACACTTATAAAATTCAGCTGATGAAAATGCATTAACCTTATGGTTGTGGTTCACTTGAATTTTATACTTGAAGCTTTTTACTGGATAAGTGCTATACTAAAACAAATTAAAACCATTAATCTTTAATTCTTTGTTCTGGTAAAGAATCGCTAATACTGCTTCTGTCTGAAATTAAGTAAAACCTGGCCTTTAGAGACTGTACAGTCATCAGCATTCAAAACATTTTAATGAACCAGATGCCTCCCAAGGTGAAAAAGATTTCACTGGCCTCTTTGACGAGAGGCCAAGTTCCTCTGGCAGCCAAGAGCCAGGGTAACATTTAGCAAGATCTCCCACTCAAATCCTGACAGGCTGCCTCTGCATCCAGGTTGGGTTGTGACTAGAGGTTTTCAGAGGGCCCCAGAGACATGTTATTCTCATCCCCTGAAATCCTGAGTGTTATGGACAACACTGTGGCTGCAGGCTTTTAAGGAGGTCCTAGCAGGCCACAGCAATCTGCTGGGAATGACCACATCCTAAAACATAGCCTCAGGAAGGGAAAACAAAAGCGTTCCCCTGGGTGAATGATGGTTCTCCCAGGTTCAGGATAAAATAACTTTGCTGCTCTGTCCAGTCTGCCTCCTTAAATATCAGCTATTCATAAAGACATCTCAATACTGTCTAGTTGATGGACCATGATATGCTGCTAACCCAAATGCTGCTAACCAAAATGCCACAGAACAATCTGGCACCTAAAATAAAAATAGGTGGGAAGCCTTGATTAGTGCAGAGCTTCCCCAGGCTGCCTGCCTGCAGGGTTCTTGGTATTTCACAGAAAATTTCTGGTCTGAGCTGACTAATTTGTTTCCATGGTATCCTTTCCTTATATGGGCTCAGACTGAGGATGGAGCTGGAGATTCTGCTCTGTGGTGTCTTGGATTCCCAGCCTGTGGCTTCCTTCCTCGCCTTCAGAGGTAGTGAGCTGTGAAAGTGTCAGTCTCTGAAGCTGTGGGTAGGTAGTGCTCGTTTTTGGCAAGCTCACTTTAATCACGCAGTTGCCACTTGCCAGTTAGCATGATAAAGTGCAGGAGTGCTGGGAAAAAGGCAATGGATTGTTTAAGCCTAAAATCCAGTGGGAAATATTACAGAGGGAAAAAGCGATGACTACAGGGCAGAGAGGAGAAGCATGTGTGTACGAATGGTCTGCAGAAAGCCTCCCACTGCTGCCTCAAGGAACTTCCCAGAGCCCCTGGTACTAACTGAAATGCCACAGAAATTGCTTCAGTCAGCTAGGGATCTCAAATTATTTTACAGATTTATTAGCGTGGCTGACAATATAATCACAACTCAAAGTGACAGATTATCCACATTATTATTGTAAAGAAAAGAGGAAAGGAAAATCCTCTGATGTGTACTTGGTTTAAATGCAGCATTATGGGAAGGTAGGGAAAAATAAAAGTGTGTGCGAATGTGTCTGTGTGCATGCCTCATGGTGAAGGCCGGCAGAATGCAATGGAGAGACCACGGAGAACAGTGGAGACACAAGAAGGAAACCGTCCACTGAAGCAAGAAATGAATCCCAGGAGATGGAGCAGCAGGGGTCCTTTATGTCCTCAACGTAATCTACATGTATGGGCTTTGTTCCCTAATACTTCCTGACCCCAGTATTTACCTAGGAGAAGTGGGTGCTCAGACTAGATCTGGGAAAGTAGGAGAATTTATGTCATCTAAGCTGCCTAGGTGAGGAATAGCAATGAGTGAAATATCCAGAGGTCGCCCAAAGCCAGGATAGAAGCCCCTGTGACCCTACTCCTGCCCTGAACATGTCATGGGTCCCCTCATTGTATACAGCTCACGTGCCCCACCCCCTAGCCTGATTCTAGAAAATTGAAAAACTAGTCCCTGAAAAGAACAGTTCCTACTCTTTTTCTCAACTTCTACTACTTGTGGAGTCCTGTCCTGAAGAGGAAGCAAGAGGCCGGAAGTCCACTAGCGTTGCTATTTCTGGTATACCAAATGGGAAAAAATGCTTGCCTGGTTCATATCATAATTTGAAGCCCAACTTCCTTAACATGTTTTGGTCTTGTTATCCATGAAGAAGTCATATCTGAAATTAATCCTAAATAGTCATAATCTCTACTGCTGCCACCACCAAGCTATTCAGACGTAAAGCGAATCCAGTTTTAGGTGTCATCTAATGTACTGTTTCAGCTTTCATACTCAGAAAACAAAAAAAAGTGAATGCTCTTAGAAAAAAAAAAAAAAAAAAAAAAAAAAAAAAAAAAGAGCAGGGCCACTGAAAGCCACCCAGGATGGTTTCAGAAGTCCCTAAGAAAACCTCTTCTACTGAAGGGCCGTCCTCAGCTGTGCAAAGTGATGCAGTCTACACAGCTGGCACTGCTGTGGTGTACCAAGTGTGTGAGCCTTGTCCAAGTGCTACCGAAACATTTTCTGTTGGTGTGGAAAAGAGGCCCTGGACAACCCAAAAATCCAGGTTTCTTTCGTGAACACTTTCCCTCCCTACTTGATACGCATTGAGGTAAAAGTCATGAATGCTGAAGAGTCTCCAGGGCACTCACTCTTATGTTATCATCCGTTTCCATCGTGGCCTGGAGCTTCCCATTCACACTGAACGTACAGAAGAGGCCATTCTCATAGAATATGACACAATGGCCCTCTCTTGAAGCCTGAATGAGTTTCGGTTTCAGGCAGTTTTCAGGACCCTCCAAGGTCCTCAACAAGTCTCCATTCATGGAATGTATGAGACATGGTCCTTCTGAGAAGAGAGGAGAAACAAAAGGCAAATTAATTATTTAATGAAAACAGACAAATATGATTTGAATCTTGAATCCTAAGCACAGATTAAACAGGATTATAGTACCATACTATAGGTGTAGAAACCCTTTTAAAAACTTCCATCTTACATATATGTAAGTTATTTTGCAAAATCTCTTCATGTTTGCCAGATTTCACCTTCCATTCGGGAGATGAGAGAAGCCAAATCATGTAAGTCCCAGTTCACTTTCCTCAAGAGACAGGAAGTTACTCTATGAAATTCATTATGCTAAGAGGCAATACCAACTGGAGGAACTGAGAAACAAGCTTCAAATCCTAGCACAGCTTCAAGGAGGCTGGGATGCAAAGAAACAAGGGCTGTAGGCAGGTACACTAGGACCTCTCCCCATACCTTGTGGGAGCCTCAACAGCCAAGACACTGTGGGCCTGTGCAGGGACAGCCAGCTCAGGCAGCCTCAGAGGGCCTAAGCCTTCTTCCCCCCAATTGCTTACTACTGTTGTACACTAAAAGGGGGTCCCTGGTAGTTCCTCTGAGCCTCCAAAAAATTCGTACAGGGACCCTTCGGCCACTTCTCCTTGTCAACTGAGTGAGTCCACTTCCCTGCTGTCCCCACAGTAAGCAGCAGCATCTGCCATTCCCAACACCTAGGTGGACCACCAGGCCAAAGTGACATTGGAGGACAGGCAGCTGCTGGGGAGCCCACACACAGCCAAGCGTTTTGTTTCTATTGAGTACCTGCTACATGCAAAGCAAAGAAGGAGTAAGGCACAAAGATTGCTTGTGTGATGAACAAATTCCAAGAGATATCTCAGTCAGATAACAGGGGTTACTGGGGTATGCACCCTGCTACTCTTCTGGCTAAATTACTCATGGCCACATGATCGCTGCCTTTTTCCCCACATTGACTTGAAAGCTTGTCCTTTTAAAAATAAGGTTTTTAGCTCTTTCTTGACCACTCAGGTGGTTTATAAATTTTTTAAATATCCACAGGCAGTCTTTGCTTTATGCAGTTCCAGCACACATGAATTTCAGTTATCACTCCTTAAATAACACCAGCTTTCCAATAACATAGTTCAAATTTAGGTTGTCACAGTAATTGCAATAAAGTACGTACTTTTGTGGCTAGCTCTTCAGTCCACGAATCACTATATAAATAACAGATGTGCATCATCATGATCAGTGACCAATCACATCATTCCTTTCAAGGTATGTTGATGCCTGGCCACTGCATATCTGTTATTCAGTTCATGTACAGACAGCAAACTGTGCAGCTGTGTTGCCTTTTTGTCTCCCAGTGATAAAGCCATGTAATATTTCACAAAAATGGATAATCAAAAAAGGGTATTAGCCAACAAAGATGAAACTGCAGTAAAGAAATGAAAAATGATAAAGCTGAAAGTAGAATTGAATTGAATATAAATGGAGTTATGGAAGAAGAGCTGCCTGTGGGGTGCTGACCGTGCTGAGACTCTGTAGATTTGCAGCCAGGAAGAGAATGAAGGGGACTCATCAGTGTGAGTTAGGGAAGAAGGTGTAACAAAAATGATGTCCCGGAAGTGATACCAGCAAAAGCCTCACATTAAAGGAATCCTACGGAATATTTCATGACATTGAAAGCACAAAAGATAAAATGTTAGAAGTGGATCCCAACTTAGAAAAGAGTATGACAGATCCTCAAGGCATAGAAAAGATGCTAGCTCCTTCCATGTACACAACAAGAAGGCAGTAAGCACTGGTCAAGCTACTCTTGATACATTTTTCACAAAATAATTATCAGTGTATCATATTTCAATGTATTAAGTACATGTGAGTTTTACTAATTTTTTCATGTTCTTATATGTATCACTGAGTATGAGTTTTTAAAGTTTTGACAAAATTATTATCAGAGAGAGGGTTTTGCTCTGTCACTCAGGCTGGAGTACCGTGGCATGATCATGGCTCACTACAGCCTTCACCTCCTGCAATCCTCCCACCTTCCCAAGCAGCTGGGACTACAGATGTGCACCACCATGCCCAGCTAATTCATAATTTTTTTTTGTAGCAATGGGAGTCTCACTATGTTGCCAGACTGGTCTCAAATTCCTGACCTCAAATGATCATCCCACCTTGGCCTCCCAAAATGTTGGGATTTACAGGTATGAGCCACTGTGCCCAGCCTGACAAAAATTTTTAAAGACCATGGAACAACTATAAACTTTACCACTGATTATTCAGATCACTTTGTATGGTTTCAGTTTGCATGCTTGCTTTTACAGTTCCACAGCACTGTGCAAAGCAAAGATGACCTGTAATATAATAGGTTCATTTTATGACTCCTGTTGGCTCAGGATATATGAAATTATTGACAATAAGAAGGAAAAAAATCCAGTGGTTATAGAATTCTTGCTATCATTATTACCATTTCAATGTTTTGACCAAATTTTTAAACACAATCCTTTAAATATTTAAAACACCTTGTTAGCTAGACTAAATATTATACTTTAGGACACAGATAAGATGATTCAAATACTCTGTTTCCCCACCAGATAAACCTAAAAGACATGAGATATTGTACTTTGTTGTATGTTCAGACCTCAGCTCAGAGCAGAGACAGAGAGATGGATAGACTATTACAATGGGATAAGCAACGAATTGCAAACAGCTCCGTTCCTAGTCAGATCCTGATTTGTTGTGTGTGCTCTTAGCTCACTTAATACCTTGGGCCTAAACGTATGATGCTGTTTCCAGCACAAACCTCCAGGCAAACCAGCTTAAGTATCTTTCCACTCCACTCTCAATGCCATTGTGGCCCCTGCCTCATTAAAACAGACAGGGTCAGGAGTTTCCATTCAGATATAAGATGGAACTCGGCCCAGTAGCAGTTCAGAAGACTAAACAAATATACAAAGATGTTCTTTGTTCCTGCCTATGGAAATACGAATATTACTGGAGATGTTTGTAAAAATATCTTAAACTCTTTAGAGTAGTGCTGTGAAACAGAACTTTTGACCATGATGGAAATGATGTGTATCTGCTGTCCAGTGTGGTGGCCACTAGCCATATGTGAGTAATGAGCACCTGAAATGTGGCTAGTGCCACCAAGAAACTTTAAATAATTTAAGTTTAAATAGGTTCTATATGGCTAATGGCCATTATAACAGGTAGAAGCTTTAGCAAAAAGGTATCAAATTGATCGTTGGTAATTTGTTACTAGGAGACACCGAAAAATGCATACATTTTGCGAAGGTACCACAGGTTTACCTTGTGAACCACTTAACACCAGGCCTAGCTCAGCACAGACTGCAGCACATGTGATCTCATAGTCATGGCCCGTCAAAATGGCCCGAGGAGCAGCAGTCTCACCTTTAGGAAAAAACAGATAAAAAGAATAGATCAAGTCAAGTTTATGCAAATTAAATAATCAACAACTTGCTCCTAATTCCCATCATGCCTATTTAATTTATAGTTTGGGAATTTGTGCAGAAATCCTACTTTAGGACTAGATCTAAACTATATACTGCAGTTTGATTATGAGGATCACATCCTGCTAAAATGTCAAGTAACCTTTATGTGATTATCAAGCAACAATGGTTAAAAACTCAGGGTTAAATACAACAAAATCTGCATTCCAAAAATGCCTCATAAAAAATTATCCCCTCAATTAGATGTTTTATGGTCAGATGATTATACAATTAGGAACTGTGGCTCAATTTACATTTCAAAGAAAGGCCTCACCCCTCCTTCCTCATCCTCTGTGGGCCCCTGAAACCAATCATAATGAAGACAGTCTAAATTAGACTTCCTGCTACCTCCACAGGAATTCTGCAGCCCCTCTCTTAAATACTTACTCTCTCTACTAAGCTTATGTATTTTTCTGATATGTAAATTTCATGGATGTATTTATGGTTCATTCAAAGAACAGAAAAACCAACATAAGAAACACCTAAAAAAAAACCAAACCTTTACAGATAAGTCTACAGATAGTGATTGAAAATGAGGGGCAATAGGTGGAGAAGGTGGGACAGAGGAGGAGTATCCAAAAGGCAGATGTTTCTGAATACTTTCACAAGTAGAAAGAACAAGTCATCCTGTAAGTCTTTCCCAAACTAAAAAAAAAAAAAAAAAAATACAGTTGGTTGGTTGGTTGGTTAAGGAACCCACCATGGATAAGTAAAACGGTAATGGGCTTGATGGACTTGATTTGTGGACTGTTTCCTGCCAAGCCACAAGGATAAACTGGATTCCATGTCTAGCCTGAAGAATACTATTTGAAGACTGAACGAATCCTCTACTTTTATAGTCTCTAAAGGCAAAGACATAAAAAGTCTTTCCACGTGGAATTAGAGAGCAGGATTCTATTAGCATTCTTGATTTCTTAATTTGGATTGGTCTTACAGTATGCTTGATACCTAACACTGTGTAATCGAGAAGAGGCAAATGTGCCCACAGAGTACTTGCTACCACCAGCTATGGAATTCTATGGAAGAGAATCACTTGTATCTTAACCCCGAACATCTGACTATCCTTGGAGCAGTCACCCACTCGGAGGAAAGAAGTCCAGTAGTTCAGGGGAAACCCATCAGAAAGCTACTGTACGTGGAAAGGCAAACCCTGCTGTCAAAACACTAATCCAGCTTCCAAAGCAGGTTTTTTTTTTCAGTAGGTCACTGTGTTATTTGAAATTTTGTGCAAAATGTATCTACATGCCTGTTTTTCTAGGTAGCAAGGGAGCAAAGTAAGTTTTACTGAATGCACAGAGGTCCATGACCAAGAATAGGTGAGAGGCTTCTACCCTGAAGAGAGGTGTAGTCTCTGTGCTTGCAGCCCCAACTTCACCTGGAGCCAGCTGTCACTTCAGGTCTAGCTTTCCACACGAGAGTTCCAATGCATGTACTGCAGTACATAGTACATAGTCCCACAGTGTCCTTTAAAGCTTTGGTGACTGTAGGTACTTCTGAGTGAGACTTAAGTTGAAGGGACATCACACAGAACTTTGCACCACACTGGCAGTGCTATGTGCAGCCAACAGCTGGAAATGGCCTACAGGCTTAGTGATAAAGGGAGACCTAAAATGACATACTAAGAGGCAAGGGGTAAGTGGAACAAGGGCTTCATTTCATTTGATCCCAAGTTTTAAAACTTCTTTGGGAGGCAAACCTACCTCAATTAGAAAGTTTACTTGACATTTACCAAACCACAAAGAATTTGTCACAAGGGCAATTTTGTGTCTTACAAAGTCCAGAAATTTGGGAAAATTTTAAAGAAATAAAGCAAATGATGTAAGCCAATCTGAACTACTTAACCTTCTGTTAAGATTCACTAATTTTAGGGATAAATATGCTGTTTTAAAAAGTTATCAGCCAGGTGCAGTGGCTCACGCCTGTAATCCTAGGACTTTGGGAGGCCAAGGCAGGCAGATCACCTGAGGTCAGGAGTTCAAGACCAGCCTGTCCAACATAGTAAAACCCTCTCTCTACTAAAAATACAAAAAAATAGTTTGCTGTGGTGGTGTGTGCCTGTAATCCCAGCTACTCAGGAAGCTGAGGTAGGAGAATCACTTGAACCTGGGAGGTAGAGGTTGCAGTGAGCCAAGATTGCGCCACTACACTCCAGCCTGGGAGACAGAGCAAGAATTCATCTCAAAAAAATAATAAAATAAGAAGTTATCAATATTTTATCCCTGACTCTTGGTTTGCCTTTTCCCCAGGTGGCTGTACATTCCACAAAAATACGATACAATGTTGTTTCTGAAATTATTGTCTAATTAGATTTATTGGAAACTTTTTTTTTAACCAACAATTAAAATCATTAAGATCTACAGAATATATTTTTGGTGTGATTGTTCCTTTTTTTGTTTTCATAAGTTATTTCATGGAAGGTGAAATTTGTGTTTTAAGTTGAATTGTCTTGGAATTCCTCAATGGAAAGTGAAGGTTTGAAGGAAATCTGATGGCAAATGAAGGCATTCTAAGACACAGTAAACAAAGGATAGATGGATAATGGTGGTCCCAGAGGACAATGTCACTTAAGCACATCAATGCTAACTTTTTGTTTTCTTGGGAGCGTGGTGAAGAAGAGACAGGACTGCTGTCAATTTTCTTTCTTTCTTTAATGCAAAAGAGTTGAAATACTGAGAGTTTTCTATGACTGTAAAGTTAAGAGTTTAGGAAGCCTCATGATTAACCCCAGAAAGTGGGTTAAGATATAAGCATTCTTTTTTTAGTAAACTCTTAAGATTTTTATCATTCAGCTTTGCTTACGAAATACTGGTTTCCCATAATCCAAACTTTATTAAATCATTTTTCACTCCACAAATCAGAGCACACACACAAGAATTGTAATTTCAAAACTGAAAAGGATTTTTTCTTTTTCTAGGGCCTGATCTCTAAATAAGGAACTGTTCAATGCTAGGACTTTGGCTTCAAAGTTTGGCAAAATGTTTGCTAATCCCGGAAGCAGGTTAGACAGTTCAAGAAATGAAAAAAAAGAAAAGAAAAAAAAAAAAGAAACAGAGAGAGAAAAGAAGAAAAACAAATTAAAAGCATAAGGGTAGACTTATAATCATTAGGTTCTCAGGTAACTGGTTCCACAGTCACTGGATTTCCAGTAAAAAGACAGTGCTACTTAACTTTCCTCACTATAGGAAATGCATATTAATGGCCTCTATAAACCCACATACGACAATATAAGGAGAGATACCATGTCATTTCCTCCAAGAAAAACTGTTTCCAATCTTGTTTAAAGACTAAACATTATATTCCCTTTATTATCTGCTGTTCAGATTGAGCATTCTTTACATTTTCTCCTTATCAAAAAGTATGTTCAAAATAAATACATACTACTTGATTTTTATAAGTTTTATAACAAAGAGCTTGAAATAGTTATACTTCAATATAGCAAATATATGATATGGGATTTAAATCAAGCAGGTCAAAACTGTTTAAGTTCAATGGACATTTTAGGAACCACTTGCAATGAATTTACTGAGGGTAGCAGGGATAATTGGAGGCAGAGCAGAGGCTTTACATGTGGCTCACAGAATCGATCTTTTCATGTCTCTGTAGTTACACTGTGTACATCATCCTGGATCACAGCAGAGCCCAAGTGACAAATCCCACAGAAAGGAGAGGCAAAAATCCCTCCATATCTACGTACATTTCTGTTTGGAAAGCCTAGAAACAAAATCTCGGAACCATATAACTTATTCTCACTGCAGTGTTCTTAGAAATCTGCCCCTCCCAACTACTTGTCGGCCCACATAGTTAATACCTGGGGGAAATAATCACCTCAAACAAGATGAGTATGGCCATATATTACTTTGCAAAGATGCCAAAGCAGTCAATCATCTCTCACTGAAGTCTCTAAACCAAATAAAGAACAACAAAAGTCTTCTGAAAAATATCAGGTTAATTCTTTTGATAAAAATTAGCAATAGTTAAGGGATACAAAAAGTCTTTAACTTTGCTTTTTGAGATAGTAGGCTCTACCAAAGGCTAGGCCATAAAGCAGAACAGGTTCCCTTAAGAACCTTTTAAAGTCTTACTGCTTGAAAAATTGTCATGGCCTTCAATAATGATGAGAGAAAAATTTATCTTGCTGCTAGTTTAAGGGACTACATTTCAAACTCTTCTTAAAGAAAAATAAAAAGAGAAAGAGGACAGACTTCTAGGACTGCTTTGAAAAGCTCAAGCAGTTACTTCAAAGGAAAGGGCGTCTTTGTCCAGAGAGCAGGTTTATGACTACTGATGCAAATCCTAACCAAAGCCTGAAAAGGATACTCAGTGCATCTTTATGGATGGCCTTAAAAGAAGATGAACAAGTCAAATGAGATTAAAGATGGCCCAAATCCTGCTGCAAATACCAGGGCACACCAGTTTTTACAGAGGCACTTTTCTCATAATACTAGATACCAGCACCAACTTACAAAGACAGTTATAACAACCTAACTTGCATTTAAGCAACACAAAATCTCTATAATAGCCACTTAGCATTTAAATTGGACTTATATTTTAAAACATTACGTGAAATATTTTAACACCCCTAGGCAGAATAGCAAATGTTTTTATTAACTGTGGTTTTTTGGTGCCCTCAGAACATTAGGCATATTTATCAAACAGACTCTGAACCTCTTAGAATTACACCTGAAAGAAGAGAAGAGGAAAGAGGAATTTCTCTAGTATCTTGCTCATAAATATCCAGTGAGAAAAATATTTCATAAGGTCTGTATCCATTATAGAAAAGAGGTAATAACCCAGGTAAAAATAGATCTGGTGTGTATTTCTGACAAACTTTTAGTTACTTTTTAAAAAGTGAATAAAGTTCTTGGTGTTTTGGCATCATCTCCTTACTTTTATGAAAATTAG